ATAGGTTCATGTACCTACTATTTGAACAGAATACTAACCTGTTTCCAGGCTTTAAGTTTTAAACAAATTTCCTTACCAATTCAAAACTGCTTTTCTTAAAATTACCAGCTGAACTGGCTATTGAAATTAGTTAGATTATTTAAGAAATTGTATGATCAATAAAATGTGGGAGGGGGGAGGAATAGAAGACAACTGTAGACAGCAGAGATAGTGTGAGAATAGGGTGGGAAAGGGCAGAGGGTCAGACATGGGGTAAATATATAAATATATATGTGTGTGTGTATATATATATATATATATAAATGTGATGGGTGGGCCCTCTACAGCCATCCTAAGATCAAGATGGCCTCACATACTCCAAGGCTGGCTGAGCACCATAGCAGGACCTAGAGTCACCATTGACATGTGTGGGTGATGTACCAGTGATGGATTTCCCACCTCTGAATTTCCCATTGCTTGGTAGAAAAATAGATATCAATATGTGATTTATGATACTTTTCTTTTGTTTCTCTTAGCTGCAGTCAAAATCAAGCCCTAAAGAAAACACATGAAACTGGTCTGTTGTCAAAATATTCCTTGAAGGCATCTCTCTGACTCTAAAGTTCAGAACTACCAAGGTCTCTCCTTCAGGAGCTGGGAGTGAAGAAAGGGGAAAACAATGTTATGTTCATAATGCAGGATTAAATAGGGAGTGAACTGGATTGGGTAGGACAAGTGTCAGGCATGAGACTCATAAGAAAAAGTTATGCTGGGAGGCTCCCAACCAGGACTCTACTCAGGCTTAGCTGCTAAGTGACTGAGGTTTTGAGATGTCACCTTTTGTCTTTGAAACTGTTTCTTCATCTTTGTAATGAGATGTATGGGCTAGAGATCTCCAGTGTTTCAACACAGGGAGGCACTTAGTCTATAAACTCTGCAAAGCAAGAAGCCCCACATTCCCAATAGTTAGAAATAAGATTTCTGTGCAGCCTGTCCCTGGAGCCTTCATGGCAATCAGAGATTCTAAGACTATTTCAACTCTTCGCTCCTTCCTACACCGCTATCTTTTTAAAATTTTAACTTATTTTATACATTTAATCACTGTACATCACGGCAGCTTATAAAATAAATTTACTCATGCCAGTCCAGGTGAAGATGTACATGCTATCATCAACAGATCTTCATACACTACTAACCAGGAGATGCACTTGAAGACTTTCTTGTATACATGAAGTTGCCCATGTGCACCAAGTCCTCCCAACAGGTAGAAAGTCCTCCTATGCATACAAAGTCCTCCCATTCTATTCCATCTTTACCATTTTTCTCTCACATACTCACATGAAAGTCTAGCCAAATCTTGCAGCTGAGACAATTCAACTCACATCAAACTATAAAATAGCATTTTCTATCTAAGGAGTTTAAAGAACTTCACAAAATTGCATTTTCTTTCTCAAGTGTTCCAAGAAATTTACAGCTATTTCTGTTCATATATAGAAATTTACTGTCAGCAGGCACACTGAGATTTTTAAACTCTAAGTTCTCTTTATGGAATGAATGAAGCACGTATGAGACATCTCACAAAAACCCAAAATATGAAACAACTGTTGAGCAGATTTTAGGAAAAGCAAAAACCAAACAAACAGAAAAAGCCAGAGTTCCTCATGTTAGTACACCATACGATGTTATGCTGTTACCAGAAAAGGCCACAAATTTGGTTCTCAACTTCCTAACAAGCTTAGGAAGAAACAAACAACTTCCTGAAGCAAAAATACAGTCGTTATTTCAGGGACACTAACTTCCTAAATGTTATATAGTCATCCAGAAAG